TGTGAGTGGAGGCCTCCGGGGCACGGAGAGCCCTGGGAGGGGCGTCCACACCAGCTGCCCGCCTTCCGACCGGTGTCTATGGCAACCGCGCGGCCTCCTTCCCGGGGCCTTTCCATCTCAAATGCCGCGTCCTCGTGTCGGCACCGGCACCGAGTCCCGGGTCCTGTTCGGGGCTCCGTTTCAGTCGGTAAATGACAGGCTGCCTGTCATTCTGCGATGACAGGGCTGGGCTGGGGGCGCGGAGCCGGGGGCCATACCCCCTCCAAGGCGCGAAGAGCCACGTGGGTAGCGGAGGGGCGCCGCCGCGGGGGGCGAATGCACCGGACGTGGGGCTCCCGTCCTCCCGAGGCCTCTGAGCCTCCCTTCCCGCGTCACCGCAGGTCATGGTACCGGAGACGTCACCCTGCGGACAGCGGAGCAGCCGCTCCCCGCCATCGGCTCTGCTCGGCGGGGGCTCGGCGAGCAGCAGGGGCGCCCGCGGGAGCGCTGGGGGGCGCGGAGCCGGCGGGCGGCAGCCGCGGGAGCTCGCGGTCTGCGCTGCCAAGCGGGGAGGTAAGGGTCCCGGCGCCCCGGTGTCCCGAGCATCATGGAGACCCCGCGCGGAGGCCCTGGACGCGTCAGCTGCCGCCCAGAGCGCGCGGCCGAGGAGGGACCGGAGCTCAGCAGAGACGTTGGGCCGCCAGCCCTCGCTTCCCGGCGGACAGCGCTGCTGCCCCGGGAGCGCCGCTGCAGGGCGAGCTCAGGACCCTGGCGCCCTGCGGTAGTGTCTTTTTTTTCCCCCAGTTTTTTTTTATTTCAAGAAAAACGATTTTAAAAATAATAATGTTACATGCAATAAACCTTAATATTTCAAGATAAATTATCTTAAATATAATGTTACATGCAATAAACATTAATATCTCAAGAAAAACTATTTTAAATATGATAATGTTACATGCAATAGACACCAATTATTCAGGAAAAATGATCTTACATATAATAATGTTACATGCGCTAATCATTAATATTTCAAGAATAAAAGGATCGCCGAAACCGGTTTGGCTCAGTGGATAGAGCGTCGGCCTGCGGACTGAAAGGTCCCAGGTTCGATTCCGGTCAAGGGCATGTACCTGGGTTGTGGGCACATCCCCAGTAGGAGGTGTGCAGGAGGCAGCTGATCGATGTTTCTAACTCTCTATCTCTCTCCCTTCCTCTCTGTAAAAAATCAATAAAATATTAAAAAAAAAAAAAAAAAAAAAAAAAAAGAATAAAAGGATTTTAGTATAATAATATTACCACAACTGTACTAGCGTAGTAGATATCACAAAAGTTATAGGAAATATTAACAATCTGCAAATAATAGGATTACTTCTATTATACAGTGGGGCCTTGACTTACGAGTGTCTCGACTAAGGAGTTTTTTGAGATACGAGCCGTCTCTAGGCCGATTTTTGCTTTGAGTTGCGAGCGAAAATTCAGGTTACGAGCCAGCTTCAGATAACCCACCGCTAGTTGGCGCAGCGAGCGTCACAGTGAATGCCACAACATCAGCCCCGTATCACGTATCTCACTCATTCACTTTAATGATTTGACATATGAGTAATTTGAGTTATGAGTTCTGTCATGGAACGAATTAAACTCGTAAGTCAAGGCCCCACTGTATTCTGGAATATTTTTTCCCTCTGGCTCTATTTTTGTTCATCAGTTTATGTTGTTCATTATATTCCACAAATGAGTGAGATCATATATTTATCTTTCTCTGACTTGCTTATTTCGCTTAGCACTGGTTCTCAACCTTCCTAATGCCTCGACCCTTTAATACAGTTCCTCATGCTGTGGTGACCCCCAACCATAAAATTATTTTCGTTGCTACTTCATAACTATAATTTTGCTACTGTTATGAGTTGTAATGTAAATATCTGATATGCAGGATGGATTTTCATTGTTACAAATTGAACATAATTAAAGCATAGTGATTAATCACAAAAACAATATGTAATTATATATGTGTTTTCTGATGGTCTTAGGCGACCCCTGTGAAAGGGTCGTTCGACCCCCAAAGGGGTTGCAACCCACAGGTTGAGAACTGCTGGCTTCGCATGATGCTTTTAACATCTGTTTTGTCAGATCTGAGTATTGCTGCTCCAGCTTTTTTCTTTTCCATTTGCATGGAAAATGTTTTTCCATCCCTTCACTTTCATCCTGTGTGTGTCTTTTGTTTTGAGGTGGATCTGTTGTGGACAGCATCTAGTTGGGTCATGTTTTTTTTATCCATTCAGCTACCCTACACCTTTTGATGGGAGCATTTAAAACATTTACATTTAGGGTTATTATTGAGAGGTACTTATTTAGAGCCATTTTAGTTCTGTATGGCTAAGTTTCTCTCTCCATTTCTTCTTCTCAGCAATCCCTATAGCATTTCTTGTAATGCTGGCTTGGTGATGATGAACTCCTTTAGCTTTTTTTTTTTTTTTGTCTAGGAAGCTCTTTATTTGACCATCTATTTTGAATGATAGCCTTGCTGGTTATAGTAATCGTGGTCTCAGATCCTTGCTTTCCATTACTTTGAGTACTTCATGCCATTCCCATCTGGCCTGTAGAGTTTCTGATGAGAGATCAGGTGTCAGCCTTATGGAAACTCCTTTGCAGGTAACAGTTTTCTTTTCTCTTGCTGCCTTTAAGATTCTCTCTTTGTCTTTAATTTTGGGCATTTTAATTATGATGTGTCTGGGCATGGGTCTGTTTGGGTTCTCCTTGTTTGGGGTTCTCTGTGCCTCCTGAACTTGTGTAACTTTTTCCTTTACCAGGTTAGGGAAGTTTTCCACCATTATTGCTTCAAACAACTTCTCTATTCCTTTCTGCCTCTTCTCTAATATTGTTACGTTTCACATTGTCCCACAGCTCCTGTAAGCTGTCCTCCTGTTTTTTTTTTACTTGTTTCTTCTTTTTGGTTCTCTAATTGAGTGATATTTTCAACTCTGTCTTCTAATTCACTGATTCAACCCTCAGCTTCTCCTGTCTGCTGTGTATTCCTTCCAATGTGTTCTTATTTGTGTTATGTCATTCTTTATCTCAGACTGTTCTTTTTTCATAGTTACCATATCTTTTTTCATACTGTTGAGCATTTTTAACATCGTTACTCTGAACTCTGTTCAGAAAAATTTCTTCTCTGCTTCCTTGATCTCTTCTTCTGAAGAATTCACTAGTTCTATCGTTTGGGGCTTGTTTCTTTGTTTCCTCATTTTGGCTGTCTGTTCGGGTTTGTGACTATGTTTTAGGTGGATCCTCTACACCTTTCAATCTCTAGGGCAGGACAGTGTTAAAGGCTGTTTCTGACTACAGTGGGGCCTTGACTTACGAGTTTAATTCGTTCTGAGACTGAGCTCGTTAAAGAGCTCGTTAACTCAAATTACTCTTATCAACTCAATGCAAAAAATCGGGTGGAGAGACAGCTGGTATCTCAAAAAACTCGTTAGTCGGGACACTCGTAAGTCAAGGCCCCACTAATTGGGTCAGGCAATAGACGCAAAGCCTCCAGATACCACCTAGACCAGTGGTTCTCAACCTTGGCCGCACCCTAGAATCACCTGGGATTCCTCCCCAAATCCTAACTTCTGGGCCTCTTTGTGATGGGGTGGGGCCACAACATTAGTAACAAAGACACAGAATTTCCGGAGGACGAGGCCCAGAAATCAGGATTCAGAAAAGATTCCCAGGTGATGCCAATGTGCAGCCAAGGCCAAGAACCACTGATCTAGACTAATAGGATTCTGACTTGAATTGCCCCCAGGCAATTGTCCTCAGGGGTGGTGAGAGTTTTTTCAAGGGGGTGCTCTGCTTGGAGGCTAATTGTTCCTTTTAATCTCTTTTTTTTTTTTTTAATATATTTTATTGATTTTTTACAGAGAGGAAGGGAGAGAGAAACATCGATGGGAGAGAAACATCGACCAGCTGCCTCCTGCACATCTCCCACGGGGGAAGTGCCGGCAACCCAGGTACATGCCCTTGACCGGAATCGAACCCCGGACCCTTCAGTCCGCAGGCCGACGCTCTATCCACTGAGCCAAACCGGTTTTGGCCTTTTAATCTCTTAAGTGGCCTCAGGGCAAAGTGTTTCCCAATAGGGTGTGTGGACTGTCTTCCCCCAGGCAAGGCAGATGTCTGTTGGGGAAGATGTCCGCCTCTGGGTGAGGGAATGACTCAGCCCAGGAAACTGGGGTGTCTGCCTTCTGAGCTCTGTCCCCCGAGTCTTTCATCCTGGCTTCTGTTCTCACCGCTCCAGTCTGCTTCACCCTCCCGCTGCCAGAGCACCAGGTGGGTGGCGCCACAGGGAATGTTTGTGCCTTGGCCCTTTTCAGAGGGTGCCCGAACTTTCAGCTGCCACTCCCTGGCAGACAGCACCCCAAAAGCTGCTTTTCACAGCTAGATGTTATGTGGGTACCCTCCTCAGTTTGGTGCTCTCTGCTGGGGAGCTCAGCTTTGGGATTAGATCCCAGAGTTCTCAGTGGCACCCCCCCCACCCCCCCCAGCCAGCTGAGATATCTCTCCAGGACTTCATTTGCCATCTGTGGGTGCCTGGCCAGCCCTTTCGCACCTCTGCCCCTCCTACCAGTCTCTATGCGGTCTCCACCTTCGGTCTTTGGTATCAGGGTTCTCTCCTGTGAGTTTTCCATTGATTATTCAGGAAGCCTTTCTGTACTTCAGTTGTAATTCCAGCTTGTTCCTAGGAGCATGTCCATGCAGCATCCTCCTACTCTGCCGCCATTTTTTATCTCTCCCTACGGTAGTGTCTTTATACTTCAGTTTCTAGAAAGCGCAGGAGGAGAACGGCCTGCAACCGGTTACCTATGGGTTAAGGCTTTTAAGCAGGAAGCACGCACTATGTACTGTTCCTTTAAGGCGTAGGGCCTGCCCGAGGTATTCTGGCCCTCGCCGCTCACCGTAGCGCCCCTCCGAGAGGCCGGCTTTGTGCGCTCGCCCCGCCCCGACGCCGCTGCGGCCCTTCGCGCACGCGCACGCGCACCGCCGGCTCCGCGCCGCCTAGTGCTGCTCGGCCCGGCTCCCGCCCAGACTTCGGCCGACGCGACTCCCGGGGCGTTCTGCCCGCTCCCTCCCGCCGCGGCCCCCGCAGGTAAGCGGGGGACGCCTGGGCTGCGGCACGTGCGGGGGGCTGACGCCGTTGCACCCCAAACCGCGACGCTGCCGATGGTGTTTCGGCGGTCCAGGACTTGAACGGCACAAGCTGGATGAGCCTATCAATGGATACAGGAAAATCGAACACGTATTTTTGATAAACAGGTCTCCCCCAATGGGGACCTCAGGGGAGCATATCTCAGCGTAATAAAGACCATATCACGACAAACCTACAGCGAACGTCGAACTCCAAAACTAAGACCCTCTTTCTCTAAGAACAAGAACAGACAGGGATGTCTGCATGTCGCACTCCTATTCACTATAGATACTGGAAATCCTAGTCACAGTTGACCCCACGGACGAGATAACATGGCTCCAAATTGGTAAGCATGGAGATAAAACTCTCATTATTTGGAGATGACATGATTATCGTTATAGAAAACCTCAACGACTGCCTCAAAAAGTACTGAGATTGATTAATTAATTTGGCA